TTGCCTCACATTTCTTAAACTTGTGCTTAGCTCAGTTTTAAATATATCATTCATGATATTTTTGTCTATCTTCATCTGCTTATACGTACTGGTGTTAGCTTTTCAACTGCATCAACAATTTTTTGACCTCGACCTTTCCTTTGACCTTTACCTCACTTTGTATAATTATTGTTTAGCTCAGTTTTAAAAATAAACCATTCAAGATATTTTTGTGAAACTTAATGTTCTGATACGTATTAGTGAGAGCTATTCAACTGCATCAAAAACCTTTTACCTTGCACGTTCCTGTGACCTTGATATCATTTTTCTTTAATTTGCATTTTGCATAATTTTAAAGAAATCATGCAAGATATTTTTTTGTAAGATGATGCACTTATGTATGATTTGGTGGGAATTTATCTATATCCAATTTTTTAGATTTTGATTTTTAAGAAACTATTCAAGATATTCTCATCAAACTTCATACGCACATTAATACAAATTTTCATGTTGCACTACTAATAAACATTCGGCGGGGCATTCATGTCCTATGGATATATTTCTAGTTTAATAATGAGAAAAGAAAATCTTCCACTGTAACCACCTTAAGAAATGTTAATGTTCTCTACCTATTTTAGACTTTGTTTAATTTATTTTTGTAAGAAGACGGTGACATCGTTAATTATTTTAGTTCGGATAGTAATATTTTGATGAAATGATCATTTATACATCTTGATGCCTTTTTTTCAGGCTTTTCGCGTGATGCTCGTCGTAAGTTTTATCTAGATCTGTTGGGCTTAGAGAAACAAGTAAACGATGTTAAACCGTTCGATGTGTCAATGGAACGACGCAGTGAGACACCAAAGGTAATTAAGGATCATCGACTCTAAAGTAAGAGAGATAACTCTCCCGGCTTTAATGAATTAATCAAATACTTCCTTTGTTAATTTGGGAATGACGGTAGAAGAAATACATGACCCTTGGAAGCAGGATTTATTATGTTTTCCTCTCCCGATTGTTTACTATTTTATATTTGTATGAAGTAGGTCAATGAATTTAAAAATATTATACCTATCCTTTCATGAATAGTAGACTAGTAAAACATTTCATCTTTACGACCTTTTACATATTTTAGGGCTTTGAATAAGAAACTTACTAGCTTATTTGTAATATTTTTTCTTTTCTCGTTTCATGTAAACAGCAATAGTTTAAGTAAGATCCTTAATAGATTAAAATTTGACTTTTGTGTACTTAAAGAATTGTCAACCTGAAACGAAATTTCTCTCAAAATTGTTTTCAGTACGCAAGCTTCTTCCTTTGTTCCCCATTTAAACTTGATCCAAAACATTAAAGAACCTCTCAAAACTTGAGATGAATATGTAATTTGCAGAACTGGATATAGTTCCAATTTTAGCACACATACTCACCCTCCAAAAATCTATGCAAGTATACATTAAAGGTAGTCAAAATTTTACGTGTTTTTGCATTGATCGATTTACCAAAAAAGTTGAAATTACATAACTTGTCCACTTAATTTTCAATTTTCGATGCAAGATGTAGTTTTTAAGGAAAATATTTAGTTAAAAATTAAACTGGCATTTCTCTTCGTAAGATGAAATTTACAGCAAATAAGGTAATGATAAAGGACATCGCTAGCATTCAATTTTTTTTTTAGGAAAATGTTATCTTAAACCATGATAGCGAAACAAAAAAAATCGGCACTTTTCTTTTATACTTTATGGTATCAATACTGATGATATACTCCTAATCAAGTAAAATATAGTTAACTTTGTAATAATATGTCGTTTCCTGTCGGGAGTTTGAATTGTTTTGTATTTTTTAGGATGAAGAGCTTTACGGACAGACTGTTGTTATCAACGGAAAAGAATACAAGGTGGGGCGATATTCCTTTTAAATATATCTATATCTTAAACTTACATAGACATGTACCATAAATGTTGATATCGGCAATTAAATTGTATTTAATAGAACTGCAACCTTTTGGAATTTTGTACTAGTTTTCCAAGTAGAATAGCAATATTTCTGGATTAGCTATATATCATTGGAAAATCCTCAGACCTAAAAATATTTTTTTTCAGCCCAATATTACTCTTAACCAAAACCCTATGGAACTGGAACTTAGGCAAACTGACGGAAAAGAAGGGGATGTACAGGTCAGTATTTCTCACGCTTATTGGTCCTACTTTTCTCTATTGAGTCCGTTAATAGATCACATTAAAGTTAGATCGAAGTTACGTTGCAAAATACTAGATCCTCAATATTATTAATAATATGTATTTGCCTTCTCATACCATTAAACAAACATCAATTTAAAAAAATAAGGTTTTCAAAGCTACTTATATCAAAGTTAACCCGACTGATTTTTACATCTCTATAAATATTTTGAATTACTATTGAATATCTAGTGTTAAAATTTATTTTGCGTGATAACAATAAGCTCTTTGTATTTTCGTAATTTTTTTCCCTCGTGTTCATGAATCAGGTTAGAGTTAAATTTTTTTATATTTTAAAATACATAGTTTAAAAAGATACATATAATTTCTTTCTCTTGAAGGTAAACTGAAAAAAAATCTTATTAAAGTTGTTTGAATAAAGAGACCTTGAGTTTCCAGACAACTTCAAGGCACAACTTGAAGACTCGTGATGTTCGTTTGACTTTCAGATCTTATGGACATTCCCTGCTTTTTTTCAAAGCTAATTTAATTATCCTTTCTAGTTGCGTATTTTCCACATAAAATTATCAATTTGTACACACAGGGAACACATATTCGGAAAAGAAACTTTGAGGCCCATTTCATTAGGAAGTTGTGGCCGAATAACAAAGTTCCTTATATCATTGAACAAGCAACTTTTGGTAAGTTTAATTTGATTTATTTTAATTGTAGGATCGCATATTTAGCTTTTTAAATAATATTGAAACCATAAAAGCAGACTTCTTTTATGCTATAAACCGTTAGTTGTTGCATGTGTCTTATTTAGTATGTGTGATCTATCAATCTTTTCCTGACTTATCAGGATAAGATACTATTGTATAACTGTAGTAGAATATGTGAATAGTTGCTACATTTGAATGATCTTCTAAAGTGGGTACGTACTGCACCAGATGGAACGTTCTATCGTTAAAATGATATTGTCCTACGGAACAAGTTTAACGATAGAATTCGTTCCGTGTATTGGCAATGTAGCAAATAAACACGGGCGATAACTCGAACTCTGTGCTTTTTCTATGATCATTCCAGAGAATTCCGAATGTCAACATGGCGTTAGATTTGACGCGAGGAAAAAACGTAGAGAAAATGAGTTGAATTTTCGTATTTAAATGGATTATTTTTTAGGTTAAAAGGCATGTACAATCTCAAGAAGGTTTGTTATGATTAATTTGGTAAGTTATTTTCAGTGAAACTCCTTTTGTATTCTTTGAAATCATTTCGGAGTGGATCCGCTCCGATTTGCTACATTGCAAGTATATGGGACGTATCCTAACTGTGGCGAGGGCTTGTCCCGAGACACAGTTAGATTATTATAAGTAGTACTGCACAATTCAAGGCCTTGAAAGTCTACGAAACCTTAATTTAGTGCACTACTCAAATAAAATTCTGACACTAAAAGAAATGTTACACCGCACCATTTAAAATTGTTATGTTTGGTGAGTATATATATTTTTTTTCCTGTCCGTCCGATTGTCTGTCTGTTTGTTTGTTTATAGGTGAAAACTTTGATATTGCTCAATACATTCACTTTTGATTGGTTTGACCTATGGTTCTCATATTTCACATGTGTATTCCGTGTGACGAGGCCTTTCTTTGGGTACCAACATATTCGAACTCTTTAACTTGGAATTTGACCCAATTTTGCAAAAACCTACCGAACTATATCCTTGGCCATAACTTCTGAAATGTTAGTCCTAGGGCTTTCATACTTCACATACGTATTCATTGTGATAAGATCTTTAGAAGGATTTAAATATTTTTACCCTTTGACCTTGATCTGTGGGTTTAACAAACTTTAACCTTATACATAAGTACTATGGCTGAACATAGTATTCAGACACACACAGAATCTGGGTGTTAGGATGCAGGAACCTGCACCTTCGAAGGATAATATTCACTTCAACTCTAGGGCTTTGTGAATATTGAAATAGCGCAATTGTATCGCTCCTTTGCTGTACATTTAAATGTTTATTTGAAAATATCAAACGAATGGGTACTTATTTGGAGAGATACAATGTATATAGATAAAGTTTGTGTATGAAATTTATGTTTTAATAAGATGGCATTAATGCAGCATAGTTGTAAAAGAAAAGGTATGTTTTTAAAGCAGGAGACAACTACAAGAAAGCCAAGGCGTTAATCGAGGAGGCGGCGAAGCAGTTTAAGGACTATACCTGTGTAAACTGGGTACCTAGAACATCAGAAGATCATTACGTTAGATTCGTCGGAAATGATTACGGGTATAAGTCGTCTCGTTATCCTTTATTGAAATAGCACACGGGAAGATGACTTTCCTAATTCCATCATGACTTAATTATTTTTCCGTTTTCCGAATCCCTTCCATTTATCAAATGACTCCTGACCATATATGTTGTGTTTTTTAAAAATTATTTTGAAACATTTCGTTATCAAATAATATGGAGATTTTTCCTATCACTAGGTATCTAATTATATCACCAGGCTTTACCGTTCTTATCACAAATTGTCCTTAATTCTCTTCTTTTACAGATGTTATACCACAGTTGGTTATCATAAGTATTCCAACAGAAAAAAGCTCAATCTCGCTCCTGGTTGTTTAGAGGTAATTTTTATATAGGTTAAAGTATATGGCCGTGATTCATCTTGCATGGAATGAACTATGGGGTTAACGAACAGTAATTAAGGACTGATTTACATTTTCTCGACAAATTTTTCAAATAAATTTTTTAGACATAATTGATGTGAATTCTTCAAGGCCCATATTACTTTATAAAAATGAACATTTGCTAACTTAAAAATAATATTTAACACATGATATGGCAGATAGAGTCAGTAATCCATGAAATGTATCATGTTATCGGCGGGACTCATGAAGTGCAGCGATTGGACAGGTCGGATCACGTGACAATCCTATGGAAGAAAATCAGGGGTGCTAATATGAATCAATATATTGTCAGCGGAAATACCAGAGACAGGTTCCCGTACGACTACCACTCTGTTATGCAGTACAGATTGAGTGTAAGAAAATCCAATTATTTTTTTTTTAACTGAATTTCATTCTCAGACATAATTTTCCTTATTGCAACAGGCTGCTATTTACCTGATAAATGATAAGAAAAGTCTTAAAGATCATTTTTACCTGTTGTCAAACTTATGTTATGTCATTCATTGCGCAAAGAGTTAAAAGAGTCTTATGTGGAAAGAGTGTTTGCAGAAGGATAGTTCTATTTATATGAAAATGAAAAAAAGGTTCATTTATCATTTTCAAAGTAATGAAATGTACTTAAATACTGAGTAGTTCATGATATGCTTATAAGAAAATGAATTTCATTTTTCATCATACAAAACAACTACATAAATGCAGTATAATTAATGTTTTCCCCTTCTCTCAGACGTTTCCCACGTTTCCGAATGACATCACCATTGAACTGCCCGACCCCGATTTGAACTATTTGGCACTAATACCTAAAAAAGGTTTCTCTTTTCTGGACATAGCGGAAATAAATGACGCTTACCAATGTACAGGTATGAAGTCCCAGCTAAATTTCAGTGATTTTGATGTGATCAGGAAAGAGTCTGATCTGATATCTCGTGTAATGCTTTTTGTTTTGACTATTTAAAAGCATTTTCATCTCACTATAACTATTAAATGAATGAAGTACAAGTATTCATTATTCCAATTCTGTTATTCACCAATATTTATTGTTATACCTTTCAAACCTGGTTCCTATATAAATCTATACTTAAAAAAGTCTATCATTTCCAATGTTTGACTGAGTGGTCACCAAAAAAAAAAAACCGATGTTTGACAGCAGAGTGAGATATTGGACCTGCCGATGAGATATTGGACCGCTTATGTCATATTGTGGGCGTGATCTGCTAAATTTTACTTGCATTCGTTGGTGTTCGACAGTGACGGGATTGACCGAATTTAACCGCAATGCGGGTATAATGAAAGCCAGCACAGGACGCAAGTATGTGAAAAAAAATTAAAAGGTATAGCAAAACAGTTATTGACTGTGTTCTCGGGCAAAATGCGCTTTGTCGATCCCTCGAACCAAACGGTTTGCTTCGGTCTAACGGCCTCAGGCAAACAGGTTGATTCTTGGGTCCGACAAAACGCATGTTGCCCTCGATCCCTGTCTATAAATGTACGTTAATTCATGCATTGATATATATGTTCTCACTCTAACCCTTTCAAATTTTACAGTTTAATGATCTTTCATGTTTACAGAGAGTTGTACAATTAAATGCCATAATGGCGGGTTTCCTATCAAGCCCGTGGGAGCCAGCTGTAAATGTCATTGTCCGTCAGGACTTACAGGAGAGGACTGTACAGGGGTGGAAAACAGCCTAAGTAAGTTTTACTTCATATAAGAGAGATAACTCTTTCTCGGATTCATGTCTATTTCTCTTTAAGTTGCTGACCACGCCTATCAAATATTGCTCCGTATGATATTTTAAAATTGTTGGAAAGCAAATAATTAATCCGTTTTTAAAAATATATAAAAGCATTGAAGGAATATTTTGTGTGTCTAGAGGGATTGCATACATTGCATCTTAAAATAAATATTTAACTTAATAGCGAATCTTCTACGAAAAGTAGAAAGACACTAGTATTTCGCGTCTGTGTTATTCAGTTAGAAAATCCAGGCAATATAGAAAATTATATATGGTTTACTAAATCTTTTTAAAAGATTGTGGTGAAGTAATTCACTTACAACCCGGGAAGGATCAGAATATACAGATTAGTAATTATCAACAGGGCAGAGAGTGTACGTGGATAATAATGGTGAGACCTTATAAATTGTATTGCAATTTGATTCAATCAAAGTACTGGAAGTACTGAATGGAGGTAATGAATATAGTACAACTTGATACAGAAAACTGTATAAACGAATTTATTTTGTTTAGTAGTAGTAGAGTAATAATAGTAAGTTTTATTTATTGTCCAATTGTATCCGACGACATTTTTGGCTACAGTCTTTGGCGCCCTTTTTCTCGGCTCTTTCAATTTTTTTATATCAATATTCGGATTTCCAACGTTTGTCGAAATGAAAATCTGGTGCATCAAAATTGGTACTGAATATGATTAATATACAATGAGAAAAAAGTTAGTTTTTAAGCTCTTTAACCGACTCGTAACATTAAACACTTCGCACACAAAATGTACATGTATATAAGAGATGAAAACTGTAAGCTGACACGCACATATATTTATAGAGAGAACAAACATATAAAACGCGCATTGAACACATTAAAGTGCAAAACACTTATAAACACTTTTAAAGAACTAAAAAAGCACAAAATAAGAACACACAAATATATACAGAAATATATCAAACAAAAGTCATGCACACGTGGATTAAAAGACAGAACTATCTAGTGAAAATAAAAAAGGTAACTTTCAAATATGTTTTTTAAAACTGTAAATGTAAATCAATTCTCAAAAATGTAAACAATATACCGTTTTCATTTTCTTTTTTTTTTCTTCATGTTAAACCACAGCTGAAAACACAAATGCTAGAAATGTTTAAGATTTGCTGCGTTTAGATACTGAAATAAATATATTAAGCTATGATGACGCGTAATTTAGTCCTTATCTTTGATTGAAACACATGTACATCAATCGTGGGACTAATATAGGAAATAACTGATTGATTTAACATATGGAGATTTGATAGATTTTTAGAAAACAAAACAGAAAGATAAACAATAACATACATTTTTATTCATTTTTTGATTGAAATACATGTATTAAAACGTGTGGTATAAAAAGAAGAAATTATTTGATATAAGATATACATGTATAGCTTGTCTGATTTATGTTTAGTACGACTTTATATATTTATAAGATATATTATATATATCTCATAAAATATATAAACAATGCAAATATGTGGCATACAACATGGACATTGGGGACTTACAGAGGTGGGATCAGGTGCCAAAGCGGAGTAAGTATCCCCTGTAAATCAGTCAAACCCGCTGTGAGTCCTATGCATTGATGAGGTAGACCATAGAGGAAACTTTCAGTACTTTATTCAATATAAAACAAAGGCCTAACAATTAGTATAAAACAAGTCAGCCTAAAAAAATGAAATATAACTGAAATAAATAACAATGAACGAAATGAAGACTTGTACTCATTTTAACAGGGAAATCCTGGCTCCAGAATGCGCGCCATTGTGACGTCAATGTCGCTGCCGTACAAAAAAGATCACAATACGTGTGAACACTGGTTAGAGTTCCGGGACTACCACATCGGAACCCCGGGCAAAAAGTAAGAAAAATATATTTTTAAAAAATTGAGAAAGTTATTCAATGTCTTTACATCGTTTGGGGAAAAACGTACCTGGTGAAGTTATTTATTTTAATCTATGTGTAACATCTTAGTCCTTGTATTCTAAAATCTTTCTCTCATTATTGTCTTTTCTGAATCAAAGGGTAATTAATTTACAGTTTCAAAAAAAGAAGATCAGTATGTAAAGAAAACTATTAAACAATACTTATTTGAAGAACACTGAGTCTTTTCTAAACGATAAAAAGTTAAAATCCTTAGTATATACGACGTTAATAACGAAAGCAATAAGCCAACAATTAGGCTAAAGGTTTATACAATGGTAAATACTTTTTCTGTGAAAATTGTTTTTCTACCGTTTTCCTAAGGTTGTGTGGCAGCATTCAGGAAACGAGTGACATGAAGTCATACAAAAAATATCTGGTTGGGAATCCAGCAATAATGATGATGAGGTTCAATACAAAGAACCAGATTCCTTCCACCGCAGACAGATACTTCACAGTAAACGTCAAGGCTTTGGCGTCAGGTAGGTTCCCAGTTTGGAGTCAGGTAGGTTTACTTATGGTGTCAATTAAGCTTTACATTTGGCGTCAGGTAGGGTTAACATTTGACATCAGGTAGGTTTTGTAACAATGCTCTGACCTCATTTGTGAGCGCCGCCATGTTTTGATCACGCGACTTGGCGCCATGAAGGTGGTGACAAAACGTCATAATCCGGTCGTACTCAATGCATCAACTTCTCCCTTTTTAATTATTTTTATCAATTAATTATTGTCATAATACTGATACAAATGCTTGTAAACATGAAGTTAATGTTTATTGAATCACATTTTGTTTGTTTGTTTCTTTTTTTATTTATTCATTTTGGGGGTGGGGTGGGGTGGGGTGTTCGTATAATGGTTATTTATTTATTTTACTGCGGCCATTTGCGCGGTGTGCGTATACTTTTTAGAAAATGGGCTATATCTCAAGAACCCCTTAGTCGATTTTTTGTGAGGGCTCTCATTTATTCAAAAACATAGGATGTGACCCTTAAACAAGGTGGTATAATTAGGGGAAAAAAACAACAAAAATTTTGGTTGCTAAAATATCTTCTTCTAAAGAACCACTGGCCAGATTATTATCAACCTTACATACAAAGATGAAGATATGTTGTAGATTGAAAATTGTTAAAGGCATCACCCTGCAGCAAAGGGCGTGGTCTCAAGGTCACTTCAAAGTTGACCAAAATGAGGTTTTGTTAAAACGTTGATGTTTTGCTTACTATATGGACTAGAATAATCAAATCTTGTCAGTTGATCCACCTTAAGACCTCATATCATGTTGACTCAAAAGAAGGTCACGGTGACCTTTTTTTTTTTTTACTTTTGCAGGCATTAGTTTTCAGATAGTTTCAGAGGCATATTTTGGACACTTTAAGGCCTATTATTATCAAACTTAGTTGATGCATCATGGGTCCTCCGAGAATGTCAACTGAAAAGTAGGTCACCGTGACCTACATTTGATTTTCTACGGCTATATTTGAATATATTAGAGGTACAAATTAGCTTAGAATCAGAATCATCAAATTTTGTCAGTTGATGCATCATAGGTCATCAGAGAATGTCAAATGAAAAGTAGATCACCGTGACCTACTCTTGATATGTTATGGCTCTATTTAAATAATTCAGGTAGTAATCGGTTTAGAATCATTAAACTTTGTCAATTTTTGATGCATCTTGGGTCCTCGAAGAACGTCAACTGAAACGTAGGTCACCTTGATCTACTTTTGAAATTTTATGGTCTTAGTTAAAATTTTCAGGTACTAATTGGATAAATACCACGACGGTCGTCTAGAGATTTTCTCGGCAGGCGTTAATAAAATCAAATGTATTATTTTCTACCGACATACTTGAGTAGTATTTCAGCGCGTTCGCCTTTGGACAACAAAGACAACACAGAATCTGCCGCCTCTTTATTCCTAGGGCTTAGTTTCACATTTGTCACACTGTCAGCATCGTAATTGCGGCCGACGACAACGCCTCCGTTTTGCAAAGAGAGATTATTTTGTACAACCTGTAACCTGTGATTGTATCACTTAAATTGATCTTAACAAATTCATTTTTCACTGAAATTTGGATTCGGAAAAAGGATAGGCAAGAGAGTTCATTTTAGTTTGAAAAATACCCTTTACTAATGTATAGGAATATATAAGCACTTACAAAAAGTGTTGTTTTTTTTTTCATTGTTGAGGATGACTCGATATTGTTGTTGTAATGGACTGTTATCGACAATCAGAAACACTCATTAAGTAAAATGCCACTACTAGGTACAAGTTAGTAATATAAAAACGCAATGCATACAGTTTCACCTTATTTATTTATATAACATCGACTTAATTCTCAGTAACATTTCTCGGTTTAAAATTTATCGTACGCTTTACATTCTTTTGTGTTTGTTTCTTGTTGTTTAACGCCCCTCTCGAAAATTGTTCACTCATATGGAGATGCCAACTCTTGCTGATGGAGGGCTGCAAATTTATACCTATACTCGGCATTCAGGGCCATTGAGCATTTTTTCGTGTCAAAACCTACTGCGACATGGGACCTCGGTTTATACGGTCTCATTCGAAGGACCGGTCCCCACCTCCCGCAATGGATTCGAACTCGCGACTTAAGGATCAATAAATGTTTTATGATAACCTTTATTCTTTCTTTTGACAAATGCTGGCTTCCATTTTTGCGATAAATGATAATAAAAGATTATTTAACCACTGCGGATATTAATCATTCAATTCAGCTGTTGAACAATACCATGTAGCTGTTTCGCCTACCATGTGACACACAAATGTCATATAGCTTCAATTTCACATCGACAGTTCAAATACATCATGCACTCAGCGGTCTAACATTGGAAATTTGCGCATTTTTAAATAGATTTTATGTAGGCAACAATTTTTAAAGGCATAGTGAAATCGGATGTTTAGCAGAAAACAGTTCCTACACATTTATTCTTTTCTAGAACTCCAGTTGTAGATATTACAAGGCTTGGATAGACTAGACAACTATGATACATGATTGATTGTTTGTTTTACGTCCCATTCGAGAATTTTTCACTCATATAGAGACGTCACCATATACCGGTGAAGGGCTTCAAATTTTGACCTTTACTCGGCACTCAGGGCCATTGAGCAGTGAGGGATCTTTATCGTGCCAACGCCTGACGTGACACGGGGCCTCGGTCTTTAAGATCTCATCCGAAGGACCCGCAACTTTCACTTCAAAGTGCCGAACGCATGGCGAAGGAACAGTTGCTACCCTTTTTTAATCGACTTGGGTCACTTGCGGCCGAGATTCGAACTCACTACTTCCCGATCACCGAACGAGTGCTCTACCGACTTAGCTACCGTGAACGGTAATTATGAAATAGTCAAGTTTCTCTTATCATTTGAATTGCAATACCTACTTGTAGGATTTCCTTGGATGTATAGTTTTGATTGTTTTGTTCAATCTTTTTAAAATTCAGTTCAGTTCCATGCGCAACTTTCATCCTTCCTAATAAAGGAATATAACAGGACCCTTGAGAGATCAGTTATAAAGGATAATCATTATAAACATGAAAAAAAGACATATTTCTTTTACCTTGACTAGTTTGTGTTTCTTCTCCGTGTAAAAATGGCGCAGAGTGCCAGGAAGATCCTGTTGATTGGTCCTATGTCTGCTACTGTGAAAATGGATTCTCAGGAAAAAATTGCGATGAGTTTGCAGGTAATTTTATGAATAATCCACCCCCTCTCTTTTAAGGTCACCCTTGTGATCTTTTGCTATCCGTTTTTAACTTGTTGTGCGTCGCCTATATTGCTTTAACATTTGAAAATTTTCATAAACTTTTCTGGATCTTCTGAACCAGTTTAACCATTTTGACAAGAAACATTTCTACCGAGTGGACTTGATTCATCACTATTAGTGCATTCCTTAAAAATCTTGCTGAGTGGAAAAGTCGACGTACCCCATGAAATAGTATTTGCTAATCTCTGAGGGAATATGTTTGTAGATTTTGATTGGCTAAAATTCCGTTTCTAGAATTACGTCAAAAAATATCGTACTCTTTTTATAGAAAATAAAACGCAAATAAATTCTGTTTCTTCACTTTAATATTTGAACATTTGAATTCAATTTTTAAACACACTCATTTTTAAATTCGCTTTTTGTCCGGTATTAGCACATACCATTTGATGGTGTTAAGTCGACTTTCTACTCGGCGAGCAGAGTTTTGACGCTGTTTACGAAATGGAAGAAAATAAAGATAAGTTGCCATATATGGTGTGTAGATAAATGATCTTAGGAGACAATGGCAATAAACAGTTTGCAAGTGCTTTTTCTGTGAAAGTGTAAATGAGTGCGATTCTAAGGAGGGGCGTACTCGATGTAATTCGGAGTTTGATACCTTGTGTTATTATTATACTATGCGTTAAAAATTTATTACCGAAACAAGTGCCTGTGCCCTAGTGTCAGGGATTCAGAAGACACGACGGATTTTATAGTAAAAATACATTATTTCTCTGAAAATCTTCTTCGCTGCTCCTTGTTTCTGTCTACCAAATGGTATTCAAGATAACAATTTCTACCACTAAACGGAACTGTTGGTATTTTAATGGTTCAAAGTAGAAAAACTGCTTTTATTTTCACAGAATATAGTTTAATTAACTAATAATTGCAAAAAATGTTTTCGTTGCCATATTTTTTAAAATGTTAGACATGTATAAACAAAGGTGTATGTCACGATAAAGACAAATAGTACAATTTAAGTAAACAGTATTATAGAAATTATGTAAAAACTGGTTCAAATACATAATTCTGATGCGGAAAGTTCCAAAATAATTGCTAGTTTATTAGTATGTTTGAATTGTGGTTATCAGGAAAACTATTTTTCATTAGAAGGACAATAAAGAAAATGTCTGAATGAGGATATATGAGAAAGAGTTATTGCCTCTAGCAACATTTTTCAAAGATTTAATAATTGATTTAATAAAAAAAAAATATACTTTTTTAAAATTCTTTTACTTTTCTTTTCATTACCACCTATTAAAAAGCATTCTTCCAAATGTGTATGAATTTAAATTAATAACAGTTATGCAAAAACCTATGACATCACAGGAGGGTGGAATTACTTAAGTGTTAATATATAACAGGGAAAATATTATCTAACACTCAGTATTTCCAAAAGTGGACAAAAGTTTTCAAACATTACAAAAAGTATGATGCGTATGAAATATTACTGTAGTATGCTGCTTATAAAAACAGGAATACTGTAATTTACTAGAAAATAGATACCTTTAGTATTCAAATTTTGTCACATGTAATTCTATCCCTTTTTTTATTGTTAATAATGACATTTTCAACATTTTAAGACGTAATTTAGGTAGTATTTATTCTCTTTAATAATCCGCTGTCTTTCCTGTTTATTACAGACAATGGACATAACTTCTGCGACTTTTCCAAGGACCTTAAAACCTGCATTCTAAGTCAGGACCTGCAGGAATCGGACTTCATATGGACATTTGCCGCAGTAAGATTCTATAATATCTAATGAATCATTCATTCCTTTCTCTATCAGATGCATTTCGAACATTTACGAGTGTTTTCAGTGATAATTGTTTAGATAAGGCCAAATTTAGAGTGTATCTTGCCCTCTTCAGACTTAGGATAGGTGGGTAGGTGGAAAAAGATTTCCCAAAGCATATTCAAAGCCAATGCTGAATTTTGAAAAAAATTGTTAAAATTGGTATTTAAACAATTAAATAAATGTTAACAGAATGAGAAAATTCCGGAATAAATGAAAAAAAAAAAATAACCATTTCCTTGAAGTTAAAAAAAGTGAAGAGTCGGGCCATTTTTAGACAGTCGGTCAGAGAGGACAAACTAATTTTTTTAAAAGATAGCTTTCAGTGGTTACTTTCTGTTCTAGTAGCTTTCAGTGGTTACTTTTTTGTTTCAGTTTATCTGCTATGACTCTGCTTGTAAAAAAGGGGTATACACATATCAAGGTAGAGGAAACCAGTTTTTGACAATCGACCCAGGTTACAAAAACAGTGCACTAGCCAGGAAATCGTCAGTTCTCGTAACGACCGCCAATTTTACAGGTTCAGTTTAAAATTCTTGTCCCCTTACATTCGTAGGTCCATTTTTAGGGCGTATTATTTTGTAATATTTACACTATTTCTTACATTGTTACATAACTGTGAAAACACTTCCTATCTTTGGGGAAATAAGTGTCGTGGTATAAAAATACAAAAAAATTCATGTCTATAACGAAACTTAAAATTTCAAACATATATCTCAGCACCCTTCAGCGATATTCTTTTTCGTTAAGCCACGAAAAGCTTGCCCAAAGAAAACAGTAATTTCTTATGAAAAGATATCTTTATCATCACTTAAACTTTGTATATACAATTATGACTATTTTTTCTAAGCCTTCAAAATCAAGAACGACCATAACTAGACGTTTCACACACCCCTCTCCAGCCCAATTTCGAAATTGAAACAAATAAGACATTTTAATAATTTATTTAAATAAAATTTTAATGACATATGAATTTCGTATATTTTTTAAAAAAGAATTTTTCGATTTTTTTTAAAAAAGTAATATTGCTTTCTTCAGAAAAAGATCGCTGTTTGACTTTCGATTACAACATGGGAACCTACTCAAGAGGAGACGGATCCCAGACCATGGTCAGAGTTTACAGGCAGGGGGAAACTACGGAAGGAGTAAACAGGGAACTACTCTGGGAACTTTCTTCGAACACCAACTATACATGGATGAAGGCCGCCATTAGTATCCGTAAAATGAAGAAATTGAAGGTAACATCTGTCAATGGAGCTTAATGATTATAATGTTGACACATAAACTATCCAGGGAGCTTGATTTTTACGTCTGTACATTACATAACAAAACAGCTTCTAACCTACTTGTCTACGAATAGTGCCGAAATAAAATGAGCCAAAAAATGGGTAAAACAACATGGTCCATCGAAAATATCATTGTTTTCATTTCGTCACCATACATTGACAAAATCATTCAGATCTTCTATTAAACCGCTTTCAGTACCACAAATCTTATTGATTCATGGTAAATCACCGGCGATGACTGACGATAGTCACTGTAAGCCAGATTAGGGCATGAAATATGAACATGACGAACAGAAATCATGTTCATAGTCCATTGAAACAATACAAATCAGAAGCAGAGCAATCACATACCTGTTAAAACATCATAAGTGGGATCATGTGCCATTGAGAAGTAAACATTCTCTGTCGACCGGTTACACCCGCCATGATCTCCTTGTCATACTCGGGTAAACGAAAAAAATCCGTAGAATACATTCAGTGTGAAAAAGCATGGCTCATCCGAAATGAGCTGGACATTTAAATAGGTGGCTTCAATATTGCTTCCTTTGATAGAATGGTATCTTGGTGAGCTACATTTTCTTTTTTGCTAGGTAGTGGTGTACGATAGAAATAGTCGCCAGCGTTACGCAGTGGTTAGAGCGTCTTCTCTATAGTCGTGGAGTAAGGGGCAGATCCTTACGTCGCGGTTTGAATCCACTGCGTGACGGGGAGACCGGTCATACGGATAAGACCGTATAAACCGAGCTCCCAAGTCGCTGTAGATATTGGCATGGAAAAGATCCCTCACTGTTCAATGGTCCTGGTATAAATTTGCGGCCCTCCCCCGGGAAGTGGTGACGTTTTCATATGACTGAAAAATTATCGAGAGGGACGTTAAATATCAAACAGAACAAACAAAAACGATAGAAATATTGTACTTTTATTATGGAACACTAGTAGAGTTGCGCCATAAGACGTGGAGACCGCAGTCCTTCGGATAAGACCGTATAAACCGAGGTCCTGTGTCGCAGTAACTGCATGCATGAAAAATATCTATCTCTAACTGCTCAATTGTCACGAAAAAGATCCCTCACTACTCAATGGCCCTGAGTCCCGAGTATAGGTCTAAATTTGGAGCCCTCTACTGGAAAGTGGCGGCATCTCCCTATGAGTGAAAAATTCTTGAGGGGCGTTAAACAACAAATAAACAAACCACGGCTCCACCTTGCACTAATCCAATCTTTTCGATTCATTTTGTTCACCAGGTGTTGTAAGATCGCAATATTGGTATATAATTAAGTGTCGTTCCGGTCATTTCTGTTCTTACCTGGTACGTCGGATCACTAAAATCGAGTATGCTCAAAATAATAATATTAACTGGTTTAAAAAAAAAAAATGATAACAAATTATATCGCTGTCACGTGTATATTAATGATAAAACTTTTAAAACATGCTTTCACTTCAAAATTTTAAAATATTCTCTACGGAGAACACACTAACAATATTTATAAACACGTGTTATAAATTTAACTTAATGTGTAGCAGACTAAAACTGTTTCATACTTTGTGCAAATAACGTTTCATATACTTCCTTAACTTTTTCTGTAAACTTCCAATGTTCAAGCGCTCGCTCTGTGATCGGAAGGTCGTGTGTTCGAATCACGGCCGCGACTGACATAAATCGATACAAATAGGTAGCAACTGTTCCTTCGCCAAGAACTAGGCACTTTGAAGTGAAAGTTGCGGGTACTTCGAATGAGACCTTAAAAACCGAGACCCCGTGTCACGGTAGGCGTTGGCACGATAAAGAACCCTCAGTGCTTAATGGCCCTGAGTTGCGAGTAAAGGTTTAAAGGTGCTAAGACACAGATTTGAACTTAATATTTTCTCAAATTTTCTGTATAATATCACGACTTATATATTGCAATAACATTTCACACGAAATATAATTAAAAACTTATTTTATCTGAATATTATTGGAACTACGAATTCCGGGACGCGTTTGATTAACATATCTTTGCACTTACACACATTTTAACTTTATCCTTAATATTTAAGAAAAGAAGCGATTTTCTTACGTATAAATGAAAAATATTACATCTATAATGCAGAAAATTCAGAGTAGAAATGTTCGAAAGCAAAACCATCTCACCAGCATTGTCAGTCCGTGCTCTATGTTGTGTACAGAGTTTAACAAATTGAACACACCCGTGAAACGTAAACTTTTTGTAAACAGGGCACGAACTCTGTTATTGTTAATATATACGATTCACCGGGTGTGTTCAATTGTTAAACTCTGCATACACCACTGAGCACGGACTTACAATACTGTGAGTGGATTTTGCTTTCGAACATTTCTACTCTGAATTTTCTGGGTTATAGTTTTAATATTTTTCATTAATACGCAATAAAATCGCCACTTTTCTTAAGTTTTCAGAATAAAATTAAAATATATGAAAGCACAAGGATGTGTCAATCCAACGCGCCCAGAAAATAGAAGTTTTGATAACTTCGAGATGAAATAAGATTTTTATTATATTTTAGTATGAAATGCTATAGCAACATACAAGTCATGAAATTATACAGAAAATATGAAAAAATATTAACTTCAAATCTGTGTCCAAGCACCTTCAAATTTATATCCCTTCACTGGCATATGTTGACGTCTCTTAATGGGTTAAAAATTCCCTAACGCGATTTCAAACAACATACAATCAATCAATCCAATGTTCGAATCATTATGTCTCGGACTCTTTCACGAAAAGACATATTTAGTTAAGAAAGGTAGTAAGACATTAATGTATATTTAGACAAGTATAGATTGTATGCTTTGTGGCAGAATTCATGTAACCTTACATAAATCTCTGGGTTTTTTTCGTTTTAGATTGTAATTAAAGCTATAATGGGTTCCCAGGAGCTAGGAATTGACAATATGCTACTTCGCCCAGGGTTGTGTAAGTCTTTAAAACTGTTGGAAAAGGAACATGAATAGTATTATACATGTATAGATAACGCATCGAAATTTCAGTCGTATTTTGCTTTAATAGGTCAATATCTTTAGCAAAGCAACTTTTCATGCCTTTCCGACAAGCTAAAAAGCAATCTCGAATGTGTTATGTAAGCGTCCATGACAACCCCATCACTTCATAAACATTGAAATAATACCGTCACGTATAAGATACACAAGAAGTAGTTAACTAAAAATATCTGAATTTTTATACAATAATGTTGACAAATGAGAACAGATTATAAGAGTAAGGTAAACAAACATCACAGATTTGCTTGAAACGTTGAATGTTACCTTTTAACTTCAGAAAGGAGAACATGAAATATATGGAGATAACGAACAGTATTCAAGCTCAAAAGTCCAGTAAACATTACAAAATAGGTGCAGAGCAAACACGGACCTCCAAAACATCAGAGGTGGGATCAGGTGCCATGGAGGAGTGAGCATCCCCTGCCGACCGGTAACACCCGCCGTGTCCTCCTTGTCATGATCTGGAAATAACGGAAAAATCCGTCGACAATTCAGTGTGTAAATAATGGCCTAACAATTAGCTTGAAAAACGTCAGTCAGCATTTGACTCAATGATAAATTGTATTCGCTGACAAAGTCATTGTATAGACCGTAGAACTTACGAAATGATGACTTTAAAGGAGACTGCTGATATTCTTGTTTCATCAACTTGTTTGTCAATAATTTACCTCGTTTTAGAAATTGTACCGAATCAATTGAGAGATATAAACCCGGTATGCAGGTGATGAAGGTATACTGCTGCATACGGAAGGGAAGTTGACGATTGAAAAGTTAAAGTCATCATGTTTATCATAAAGCTTGGTTGTTTGATTACCATTAACGTCTTTCTCAAGTAAAATATCCAAATATGAAACAAATGTGTCAGACTCTGTAGTATCTTTTATCTCAAGCTCACCGGGATATATCGTATCGACATAAGAATGGAAATAACCATTGTTAATTGACAATACGTCGTCGATATATCTAAATGTCGAATTGAAGGCCACAGCAAGTGTTTTCTTCTTTTCACCTATAAGATTTTGGACAAATTCTGCTTCAAATGAATACAAAAAAGGTCTGCTAATAACGGGGCACAAATGGTACCCATGGGAATTCCAATAGATTGTTGGAAGACCTGGTCTCCAAAAACCACATAGATATTGTCAATCAGAAACTCGAGCATCTTTTTAATGTCAACTTCAGAGTACTTGTGTGTACAATCAGAATGTTTTTTAACAAAATAATTTTGCAAATGACCAATGACAAGGTAAATAAATTTACGAGTTCCATTTTTATTGAAAGAGCAGCTGTCAGATATCAAAAAGCCTGGATTTTAATTTATCGTGGGGAATGGTTGTGTATAAAGTTGAAAAGTCGTAAGTTTTTAAGCTGTTGATTTTGGTAAAATCTTGATTTCAAATTTTCCAAAAGTTCCTTGGAAGTTTTAAGTAGCACATCTGATTTACACCACTTCTCGAATATATTGTGGCACAGTACTCTTGAAGTTTCCCCTTCACTATTGTTAATATCTTAGTGAGGAGTAAAGAAAGAGGCTTGGTTGAACATTTACTGGAACCCGCTATGTATCTTTCTTTGTAACGATTTTTATGAAGTTTCGGAATCCAATATAGATATGGTAATTCAAATTCATTTTGGTTTTTGGGAATATTAAAAATATTCAAAACTGACATATGATTTTGAAGAATTTCTTCCTTAGAAAGAGAACTATGAGTATAAGTTGGATTACCACTTGTAGAATTAAATCCAAGTGCCTCTAAAATACATTTAATATAATGAGCCTTACAAACAAAGACAATGTTGTTACCTGCTTTGTCAGCAGGGACCAGTACGTACTGATCATGTTATCTATCTAATTCTTTTTTCACTTCTGGATTATTGAATACAGAAGGATAGATGGTTCTCATATTGCCCCTCAATATTTTAACGCGCGATTTTAACATACATCTAATACATTTAAATCTATTCTGACAAAGTGTCAAGGTCTTTTTTTTCATGTCTGGCCCATCGCCTGGCGTACCGGTAATCCTCTACAGAATCCATAATATTTATGAAATTCCGACGCCAGTTGAAGGATCGGGGTTCCCTATATTTATAAATGTTAAAACAACCCCCTCTTCCGCCATTCAATTACAGCGTTCAAGTCCTCCGTGCACAACAATTGCAGGTCGGATTCTACTATGCAATAAGTTTATTAATCTCTTGATCTGAGCGAAAAACATATTCTTCAGCTTTTTATAATGCCCGTTTCTCAAGCTAAAGTCGGATTTTCTCGAACTGGGCGCAGTCTAGTAACCTTTGGACTTCCAGTCCATGGACTGTCATTTATGCTAATGATATGTTTACGTATGACGAAGCGTAATATAGTGCAAATTAGCATCTGCAATTCTCTTTCACCTTTATTTTGAGTATTTCCAGCTAGTTCTAATTGTATGAAATACGTGCTTTCAGTCATTTTGAGGAATTTCGGGAACTTTATTCAGAATATTGCTGCAGTACTTATAACAGATACAAACTCTTGAAAATTAAAATCATTGCCATTTTTCAAATCAATTTTCGAGTTCCGCGAAGTCTGGCTCAAACTTTACTTCCGGTAATGGGATGAAAATTGTTCAATCGTTGAATTACCGATAAGTTGCAGATATCCTTTTCTTTTCAAGTACAAAGCTATATATTATATGCAAGTTCCTCCCGTAAAATAGAATGTTGTGTTACTTTTGCGTTTCAGTATATGCATGAGGACCTCTTATCTTTGAAATCTAAAGCCTACATGTACATGTGTCTTTATTCAAAGTAAAGATTTTATCTTAAATATACCCAGGAAGGTACCGCAACTCTGTCTATCCAATACTATATAACTATGAAGCGTCTCCATGTTGAATAAAATTTTAACATCAAGTGATGTTAAAACACTCGAGGTGATTTCCGAGCTTGCCGGAAAGGCCCGAGAAGTTGTGACTGTTATTTCTGGTAATCTGTACAGGTTCTGAAACTGTCTGTAATCCTAATCCTTGTATCAATGGCGGAACCTGTCAATCAAAAGGAAGTCCAGCAACGCATTACTCCTGCACATGCCCAACCGGATACACAGGAATAAATTGCGAAAGTAAGAAACTTGGTTGTTTACTTTTCCAGTCTTTGAAGTTTAAAGATAAGTTTTGCTGTTGTCAAATTCAGTTTTTATATAAAAAAATGAATGTAGATACAAATCAGTAGCATTGATTTTAATTACAATTTGTGAGAAAATTATGAATTTTCATTGTCTGAAGTGCCAACTTCGCAGAAAAATCATATTAATAATAATAATTTTAAAAAAGCATGTTTACTTTAGATTTTCTAAAATTAATTGCAAGCTTTCTGCACCGTACAATTTATTTCAGAATTTTTGTCAAAGTTTTTAAGTTATAACAAGCTATCAATAAATTAACTTTTGTTTAGGATTTAAAGATAAAATTTCGAAATAGTGTTTCAATGGGGGCATTCCCGATGCATTATTTAATCTTTTAGGTCACATGAGTCACTCAGGTGACCTATTCTATTTATTTCTGTCAGTCGTCGTCAGTTATCCTTTGTGCGATAACAATTTCAACTACTTCTCTGGAACCGCTGAACCATTTTCAACCTATTTTGGCATATACATGTAGCATCTATGAGTGAAGGGGAACAAGAAATTGTGAATTTCATGGTCCCTGCCCCCCTAGGGCCTGAGGGGTTAGGCTAAAACCAGCAAAATTAATAAAATTTAAAAAAAATCTTCTTTACTCCTGGACATCAAGCGGTAAAACTGTTGAAATGATTATAATTAGCATTGAGCCCTCTAAAAAAACTGTGAAACTCATGAACCCAGGGTCAGGGGTTCTTGTGCTTGGGCGGGGCTATTTAGATCATTTAGTGAAAGTGCTTTATTTTTTAAAATAATATTCGTCCCTGCCTCTGGTTATTATTTAAACAAACATATGCATGGTTATGATAAGCAAGACTGTCTTTTCCAAAAATGTGGATTTTATGGCCCCCTGGGTGAAGGATTCTGGTGTTAGGGCGGGGCTCTATGATTTTATAGTGAATATACATAAATTCTTTGAAATCTTCTTCTCTGCTCCAGAGTATTTTTCAAACAAGCTTAGTGCATGGTAATGATAAGCAAGGATCCTTTTCCAAAATCGTGAAATGGCCCCAGGGTTAGGAAAGGGGGGGGGGGGGCTCTATTGATTTTATAGTGAATATACATAAATTCTTTGAAATCTTCTTCTCTGCTCCAGAGTATTATTCAAACAAGCTTAAGGTATGGTTGTGATAAGCAAGGATCCCTTTCCAAAATCGTGAGATGGCCCCAGGGTTAGGGGGGGGGGGGGGCTCTATTGATTATATAGTGAATATACATAAATTCTTTGTAAATATTCTTTTCTACTCCTGGTTATAAGGCGAACAGACTTAGTGTATACTTATGATGAACAAGTGTGCTTCTTCCAGAATTGAGAGTTTCGTGGCCTCTGGGTCGGATGTTCTGGTGTAAGGGATGGGCTTTATTGATAATTTAGTGAAAATACATGAAAATTCATCTACATAATTCCGTCTGCTCCTTAATGGTGAGCAGATAAAGAAAGTGCATGGTTATGATGAACAATGTTTACTACAATTTTTCTTTAAATGTGTGGTCCGGGGGGGGGGGGGGGGGCTAAATTGATAATATAGTGAAAATATGTTAATTCTTTGAAAATCTTCAGAAAAGTGCATAGTTAAAATGATGAGGGTATGTCTTCCAAAATTGTGAGTATCATGACTCTGCGTCTTGGGTTTTGGTGTTAGGGTAGGGCTGTGTTGAATATGTGTGTTGAATATGCAGTGATAATCCATTATTTTAGCAATCTTTGAAAATCTTCTCTGCCCTTTGGCATATCGAAGGCAAACATAATAAAAGTTCTAATAAGCAAAGATATTTTTCCCCAGATTTTTTAACATCAGGACCATTTGGTTAAGTGGTCGGTCCTGGCGAGGGCTTTATTAATTTTTATTCTACTGAGAGAAATTATTCGATCCCCTTTGTCACTCACTTTTGATAATTAATAACTGTAATTGATATATTTAAAAAAAAATGAATAAGAGAATTGGGAAAAAATTTTATTGTATAATGCAAAAAGTACTTTTGTAGATTTAATGATCAGGTAGACGTATGAATAATAAATAAATAAAACTGAGGCAAAATTAACATATCTGATGAATTGTTCATCAAAGACCAAGAGAGGTCAATATGAGAGGTCACGAAATGGAGTTAAAATAGTACAGAACTAATAGTCTGTTAAAAGTCTGCATGTTGATAAATGGGGGGTAGAATAGAACTTTAATCTATGAGTTGTTACTGAATACTAGACTTATTATTTCATTGATCCTCATCATTCTATTTCTCTTGCTTTTAGGCAACAAAACTTCCATCTATCAGTTTATTTTGTACTTTATAGATCCTCCAAATTGTTGTATTATACTCAGGTGACTGTTAAGGCCCTTGTGCCTCTTGTTTCTTTTTAATTTGGTAGATAAGTATTTTCTTGGATCAATATATTAAACAAGCTTTATTGGATATTCAATTTGTGCAAAAAAGCATAGAAAGAAAAAAATTGCAAATATGCAAAATGATGTATAGTTAATAATAAAAACCCTTACTATATGCACAACATGGATATTAGTTTTTGATATCATTTAAACGCCAATTTCAGCTAAATCCAGTGACTGATTTACGTCACATAAGAGAATTTTCTCGAATACAATCGTCACAGTAAACATATACCGGTATAGGGCTTCAAAATTAGACCTTTACCTGTCACTCATGGTCTTTGTGCTATGAGGATCTTTACGCGTGCTAACACCAACCGTAACAGAACCGGAAGTCTAGGTTTTTAGGGTCTTAGCTAAAAAAAACTGTGACCTTCACTTTCAGTGCCGGATATATGGCATAAAAACAGTCGGGTTTGAGATAAGAATCGCCCCCCCCCCCTGAAACAGGCCCAACTTCACGGCTACCGCGATTGGTTTAATTTCAGTCACATGTTTATGTATTTTATACAATGTATGCAGAAGGAAAGAAATTTAATATGAGTTAATACCGGTATGTGTTTGCTGTTTTTATTTTAATATTGTTTCGCTAAAGATGACCTATGCAATGAAAGTTTCTGATTTTATCCTAGAACATACAGCCTGTCATCCAAATCCTTGTAGATATGGTGGGACGTGCACAGCAACAGGAAGTGGCTCCGACTTCCTGTGTCACTGTCCTTTTGGTTTCTATGGAGATATATGTGAAAGTAAATAATCAGAAGTGAAAGTAAAACAGAGAAATGAACGTTTATAAATAAGATATAAAAATCGGAAAATGTGAAAGGAAATACTTTTTGATATATTTATAAAACTGATGTGTCAGTGATGACATTTTATATACTATTAAAAAAAGTTTCACTTGACGACAAATACCAAACTCAAAGATAATAATCCAAGCTTTTAAAATATTAAGACAAGGCAACGAAACAAATGTTATATAGTTACGAGTTTTTACTTTCATTTCTAAAGAAAATAAGATAGATCCATGCTTGTCCTACCCATGTCAAAATAATGGCGCTTGTAAAGCAGCCCGGGCGAGAGACGGCGTTCCGTTTACATGTACCTGCCAACCCGGTTATACTGGGGACACGTGTGAAGGTAAGTACATATAAAGAAATATCATAACAAATGATACAGTATACAGATTTATATGACGTCAGTTTCATTGGAATTTTGTATGGCATTAACATGTACAACCGATGACAAAAGAAGGATTTAATAAAGCCAAAAAAAAATTCCTAGTCAGCTGTAAACATTACATTTGTTTTTTTTAGGAGAACGTTATTAATTTTTAACCATAATTCAATTTCCTTTTTATGCCCCCGTGTATATAGTTTTTGCCCTGTCCGTCCGTCTATCTGTTTGTCCGCAAAAACTTTAACCTTGGCCATAACTTTTGAACAGTTGGAGCTTAGGCTTTCAAACTTCACATGCGTATTTCTTGTGACAAGACCTTCCTTTGGGTACCAACATCTTTGACCTTGACCTTGGAGTTTGACCTACTGTTTGAAAAAAACTTTAACCTTGGGCATAACTTTTGAACAATTTGTGCTAGGTCTTTTATTCTTCACATGTGTATTCCTTGTGACAATACCTTTCTTCGGATACCAACAATTTTGAACTTTTGACCTTGACCTAGGAGTTTGACAAACTTCAACGTTGATAAATTTTAACCTTTGCCATAACTTTTGAACAGTTAGTGCTAGTGTTTTCATACTTCACATATGCATTGCTTGTGGAAGACCTTCCTTACGATACCCACAACTTTGATCCTTTGACTTTGGAGTTTGACCTACTTTTGAAAAACTTTAACCTTGGCCATAACTTTGTTATAGCTGGTGTTAGGTCTTTCATATTTCACATATGCATTCCTTGTGACAAGACGTTCCTTAGATACCAATAACTTTGACCCTTAGACCTTGACCTACTGTTGAAAAAAACTTTAACCTTGGCCATAATTTTTGAACAGTTTGTGCTAGGTCGTTCATACTTTGCATGTGTATTTCTTGTGACAAGACCTTTCTTTGGATACCAACAATTTTGGCATTGACCTTGACCTTGGAGTTTGACCTACTTTTAAAATATTTAAACCTTGGCCATAACATTTGAATGTTTGGTTCTAGGGCTTTCACATTTCACAATCATGTGTATCACTTGTGACAAGACCTTCCCTTGGGCACCATTTGACCTTACCTTGCCGTTTTTCTTACTTGATTTCTTGACCTGGAGTTTGACTTGCTTTTGAGAAACTTTAAATTTCGCCATAAGCTGCCATACGGGGGCATCAGTGTTTCACAAACACATCTTGTTAAACAATAATTCAATTTCCTTTTTTGAAAATTCAATACCTCTGCATTTCTTCCAAAAAGATGTATTTTTTTTTAAAATGAGAATTGTATGTACTTAATGCAGGTGCGAGTTTGTTAAATTATTTTAAATCATGGTCTGTAAAGCTTGTTTTGAGATAATAAAAGATAAATTAAACATCTGGAAAATGAAGACGATCCAAGAATTAAACATTATGCAAACAGCAACATCTATGTTTCAGTTCTTTGAATTCAATTTTCTGTTTAATTTATGATTCTATGGTTAACGTTGGATAGCAATTAGAAATAACAAAAAAGAACCATAGAACCCGTCTATCCATAAAGTAAACCTATTATACGTAGTGCGTTTGGTAATGCCTTGACACTGCGAACCTACTTGTACCACTGGGCAACGAAATGGCATCAGTTTTTGTGGAAATAAAAAAGGCAATTATACATCTTAAAACACTTCTTATGTATTTAACCAAAATTAACCTGATGTCCAGCCGACACAACCTCAATCACGGCCGATTTTCCACCTCTGTTAAACTGAAAAATAATAACTTCAGTTGTCGTATTAAAAAATAAACCCTGGCATTTTGTTTCATGAAATTTGAATTCTCTTTGGTTTTAGATCAGATTAAAAAAACAAGAGGCCCATGGGCCACATCGCTCACCTGAGTAACTTTGGCCATGCTGTTCTTTATCAGATTTCCCCATTGTAATGCCTATTGTGGCCCCGCCCAACCCCCGGGGGTCATGATTTGAACAATTTAGAATCTACAGTACCTCAGGATGTTTCCACATAAGTTTCAGCTTTTCTGGCCCAGTGGTTCTTGAGAAGAAGATTTTTAAAGATTTTTCCTATATAATTCAATGTAAAACTTGGATTCCCTATTGTGCCCTGCCCTACCCCCGGGGGTTATGATTTGAACAATTTAGAATCTACACTACCCCAGGATGCTTCCATATAAGTTTCAGCTTTTTCTGGCCCAGTGGTTCTAGAAAAGAAGATTTTTAAAGATTTTTCCTATATATTTCAATGTAAAACTTGGATTCCCTGTTGTGGCCCCGCCCTACCCCCAGGGGTCACGATTTGAACAATTTAGAATCTTTACTACCCCAGGATGATTCCACATAAGATTCAGCTTTTCTGGTCCAGTGGTTCTTGAGAAGATTTTTAAAGATTTTTCCTATATATTTCAATGTAAAACTTGGATTCCCTATTGTGGCCCTGCCCTACCCCCAGTGGTCATGATTTGAACAATTTAGAATCTACATTACCCCAGGATGCCTCCACGTAAGTTTCAGCTTTTCTGGCCCAGTGGTTCTTGAGAAGAAGATTTTTAAAGATTTTTCCTATATATTTCAATGTAAAACTTGAATTCCCTATTGTGGCCCTGCCCTACCCTTGGGGGTCATGATTTGAACAATTTAGAATCTACACTACCCCAGGATGCTTCAACATAAGTTTCAGCTTTTCTGGCCCAGTGGTTCTTGAGAAGAAGATTTTTAAAGATTTTTCTTATATATATATATATATATTACACTGTAAAAATTGGATTCCCTATTGTGGCCCCGCCCTACCCCCGGGGGTCATGATTTGAACAATTTAAAATCTACACTACCCTAGGATGCTTCCACATAAGTTTCAGCTTTTCTGGCCCAGTGGTTCTAGAAAAGAAGATTTTTAAAGATTTATCCTATTTTTTTCAATGTAAAACTTGGATTCCCTGTTGTGGCCCCGCCCTACCCCCGGGGGTCATGATTTAAAAAATTTAGTATCTACACTACCCCAGGATGCTTCCACATAAGTTTCAGCTTTTCTGGCCCAGTGATTCTTGAGAAGAAGATTTTTAAAGATTTGTCCTATATATTTCAATGTAAAACTTGGATTTCCTGTTGTGGCCCCGCCCTACCCATGGGGGTCATGATTTGAACAATTTAGAATCTACACTACCTCAGGATGCTTCCACATAAGTTTCAGCTTTTCTGGCCCAGTGGTTCTTGAGAAGAAGATTTTTCCTATATATTTCAATGTAAAACTTGGATTCCCTATTGTGGCCCTGCCCTACCCCCGGAGGTCATGATTTTAACAATTTAGAATCTACACTACCTCAGGATGCTTCCACATAAGTTTCAGCTTTTCTGGCCCAGTGGTTCTTGAGAAGAAGACTTTTAAAGATTTTCCTTATATATTTCAATGTAAAACTTGGATTCCCTATTGCGGCCCCACCCTCCCCCCAGGGATCATGATTTTAACAATTTAGAATCTACACTATCCCAGGATGCTTCCATATAAGTTTTAGCTTTTTTGACCCAGTGGTTCTTTAGAAGAAGATTTTTTAATGACCCCACCCTATTTTTGTCTTTTTTTGATTATCTCCCCTTGTAGGGGGACTTGGGCCTTTATTTTAACAATTTAAACTTCCCTTTACCCAAGGATACTTTATGCTAAGTTTGGTAAAAATTGGCCCAGTGGTTCTTGAGAAGAAGTTGAAAATGTGAAAAGTTTACAGACGGACGGACGGACAGACAGACAGACGTACGGACGACGGACAATGGGTGATCAGAAAAGCTCACTTGAGCTTTCAGCTCAGGTGAGCTAAAAATCACAACAATGTTTTGCTCTCGTATCGGGACCAGTCCCCGTTTAGAATTGGCTCGCACCTTCTAGGTCCCAGCCAAAATCAAACACTCGGGCTGGTTTTTACAGTGTTACCTTTCTGCCATTTAGAAGTCAAGGAATCGTTTAATATGTATGCAATATTTATTTTTCTTCTCTTTCTATGAATGAAATGAAAAACATATATACCTACATCCTTATAAAATATGATAAGACTTCCCTGACAAAAAAATACTATAGTAAACTATAGTTAACTATAGTACCAAAGTAAAAACTTTGGAACTTTGATTTACTATAGTTAAAACTTTGGAACTTTGATTTACTATAGTGAAAACTTTGGAACTTTGATTTACTATAGTAAAAACTTTGGAACTTTGATTTATTATAGTGAAAACTCTGGAACTTTGATCTACTGTAGTGAAAACTTTGGAACTTTGATTTACTTCAGTGAAAACTTTGGAACTTTGATTTACTATAGTAAAAACTTTGAAACTTTGATTAAGTACGATAAATCCTGTGGAATTATGTTTTTGATTCCCATTCTTTACATTTTATGATATTTCAAGTTTAAGATTCATAAAAGGTTTAGAGAACATTTTTAAAACCCGACCCCTACCCTAAAAGAATAATGTACAAGATATGAATTTTAATGTAAAGGTTGTCGCTTGCGCCGATAAATAAGCAATATTTATTTCAATGCATTTAATTTTAATGTTATGCAGATGTAACGTAAGTCTTATTTATGGAGAAAAAATAATATATTATTGTGTCATTTAGAATCAAAATATCTGCTTCATCAACTTCAGTCAACATGTATTTTTTTTATTTATAAATGTAAATATTGCATTTGAATTAACTACTTTGTATATTTAAATAAAGATGTACAACAAAAACCAGCCCCAACCAACCCCATATCTACCCTTCCCCTAAAACGGCTAAATAATAAAAAAAATTAATAGAAATACATAAGTCTTTAAACTAATGAAAAAACTTTGAAACTTTGATTAAGCATAGGGAAAACTTTGATACTTTAATTAACTATAGTAAAAACTTTGGAACTTTGATTTACTATAGTGAAAACTTTGGAACTTTGATTTACTATAGTAAAAACTTTGGAACTTTGATTTACTATAGTTAACTATGGTAAACTATAGTTAACTATAGTTTACTATAGTATTTTTTTTGGTAGGGTTTAACTGAAATTTAAAATGCATCTATTACATCATTCTCTCTGCAATTTGAAGGGTATTCCTGTACCTTCGAGACTGAAAAACGTTGTTTCCTCAACAAAGAGTACGGATCCCTGCAGTGGGAACGACAAGAGGTATTTTACGAACAGCTTTGAAAACCTCTTTTGTCTTATTATGCAGCTGTTTGTAGTGTCTTGCATCCATACGTTTTGTGATCTTTTTTAATTTGCGTTAGTTCAAAGCAATATCCTTTGTTGTCGGAGAATTGGAAATAGGTCAGCTGATGTTTGATAATATGGCTGTAATATATTATAAAAAATAGGAAGGTCATATTTCGATTTCTTTAGACTAAAGAGTGGTCGTAAAAAAAAACAACGTTAACATTTCTATAATTTTAAAGAATGTCCTGATCCGAAGTTACTCCATTTGGTCTATTAAAAGCACACTAAGATACTTCTTTAATCTGACTAAATATTTCAGTCTTTTCTAAGGTCATCCTCACAGCCTTAGATATGGACAAGCTCTATATTCCAGGTAGCTAAATTTACGATTTTCGTGTTCACTTCCAGGGTCCCACTCCCAGCCCAAGTACGGGTCCGATGAAGGCAGCAGAGGGTCGGTTTTATCTTTATTTGGAAGCAACTAATGCTAAACCAAATGCCTACTCGCGGCTTTATTTCATTCCACACCATGAAAAAGGTTTGCTTGTTAGACCCAATAACATTTTGTTCTTTTAAAATGCAGTAATCAGTTGTATCAACTTCTCTTTCTTGAAAAAAATTAGTACAGTTGTTAAAAAAGCAAAATATCTTATGAGGTTCATTAATAGATATGTTTCGAAGGGATTGCGTATTTATATTTATGCGTACACCACGAAATAGAAATTTATTGTAGTTAAAATATATTGCCTACAAATGCATTATTCCTTGATTGGTGAGGACATGGGGGAACTAGCTGTTTACGAGTTTGACCGCTTGAACTGGACCAATAATATTAAAGCCAGAAAAATCGGGCAGCAGCTATCGGGAGAATGGCTGTACCTCGAAACGAATGTAAATCTCAACGCTACAACCTACGTAAGGAGAAATTATTTTTTCACACTTTGGATTAATTATTATTTTTCTATATTGCAAATTATATGTACCCTTTACCAATTCTACATATATAAAAGGTAATTGAAAAAGAACACTTGTGTAAATCGTTGTCCTGCTGTAATTTTCTCACCTAGTGTCTCAAACTTTTTCAAATTTTACGTATAAAAAGGAATGGTATTTAGTGACCTCAGCTTATCTTCTCAATTCAAGGCCAAGGCTTTCCTTAAACTCCACCACAAATAACTGCCAAGCACTAGAGTGGGTTTATAGTAACTAAAACCGAATTATTTACGATTTATTATCGAGGTGTTAAAAGAATCGGCAAAATCCTTTTCTTAGGCTCGTTTTCTTTCTTATTGGCCCAATCTGAGTAGTTTTTACTGATCGAATGCTCAGTGGATATGGTTTACCCTGCACAAGTTTCATAATTGAAAGTCAACGTTTTAAGGGAAACACTGACTGTTTTAGCAGAGCTGTTTAAAATCTGGCTCAAACCCCGCCCAGAAAGTACTAACATGTAGAAACTAAATCAAAAACTAAAGTCGAGCTCCAAAGACATTCATCTGCTTATCCTCTTTATCTCAGTGAGAATAACATAATAAAAGCGGGGCCCTTTGAGATGGTCACCTTCTTAATGTTACGGTAGTATCTAAAATCGGGGTCGTTTGAGATGGTCACCATCTCAATGTTACTGTTGTATCTATAAACAGCTATGTTGTGCATATCTCGCCTACTTTTAATCGATATTAAGTATAATAACATACTAAAAAAAAATAAATAAATAAAATCCTTTTAAAAAATATCATTGCTAGTACCACAACGTATCCCAGTTGAGACAGTTTAAATCAATTGCCGTAATTTTAAATTGAGTGAAAATATTAACTTAAGGTTAAAACATTATTTTAATTTATTTTAATTGGATTTCCTTACCAGTTGATTATTTACGGGATGACAGGATCAGGTTATCGTGGAGATATCGCCATAGACAATGTAAGGCTGTGGCCCTATCCATGCCCATAGGATAAACAGCTGCCCTGGATTTCTGAACATCAGAGAATCGGAGATGAACTATTGTCCAAATTTTTATTTTTTTACGACAGTCTATTTTTGAGAATTCAAGCTACGAAAAGGATGTGTTTCTGGAAGAAAACAAAGTAAAACACATATGTGCAGCTAGCAAACAAAATAATCCTTTGTGAGCTCTATGTAGAACTTTCTTTTCAGTTTCTTTATAGATAATCATGTACACGCTTCTGTTGCATCATATGTTTTCTTGGCTTGATAAGGTGTCATTTTTATGAAATTCTTTTAAACCACTTGTATTAGTGATTAAAATGTTTTCAACAAAACATTGTTTACTTTGTTTTCTTAATTTCACTGGCAAGTGTTGGCATCTCCATATGAGTGGAAAATTCTCGAGAGGGACATTAAAGGGGCTAAGACACAGCTGCATTGTTCATATTTTTAATTTCTTTGATTATTCAAAAAATAAAACCAGTTACATGTATATAATTTGAACTTGCATGAATATTCTTATAAATCAACGACAATGACATTCTTTTACCATCACTTCAAAATCTGATTTTGTAAACAGGACACGAGCTCAGATATTGTTAATGTTAACGTACGTTTGGTTTGTTGAAGAACAGTAGCAGTGACATTTCTCAACGGCTTCGCTTAAACGTTGGTTGATCGCTTCGCCATTACGTGAGGGTTGGCATGGGAGCGGAATATGTGGGCATTCATCTTGTCCATTCATATAGTACATATATTTATAGTTATAAATACAGACACATAAACATTTTCTGTACAACTTGGGTATTGAGGGTTTGGTATCGAATGTTTAGTGAAAGCTATGTAAACGCTCTTCTTGCTATGCTAAATTACCGGAATATGTCAATAAAATTTAAAGGAGAGAAGGGGGTGGGGTTGGAGAGAAGCTAACAACCACTTGTTCGGTAAGCAAAGGCTATAGATATTAAAAGTAGTGGGTTGTTGATCACTGGATTAAGAAATAAATTATTAGATAACTTATCCAGTGGCCAAAATATTGTTTTGAACAACTCAGTCCAGACAAACAACATTGACTTGAATCTGCATGATGGATGTTTCAGCATGGGAATGTCGATTTAAGAAAAGGTTCTCGGATGAGGCACATTTTTACTTAAACAGTGAAGTGAATAAGCAAAATGTGCGATACTTGTCATTAGAAAAGCCGGATTTTATCCAAGAAAGACCTCTTCATCCATAAAGGTGACAGTATTGGCTGCATTAGGTAGTCAAGGAGTTATTAAACCTCTTATTTTAAGAAAATTTTGAAAATCTACAGTAAATCCCGTCCTACCAAATTTCTGTCTTCTTTGCCAAGAAAACTATCGAAGAAGATGATCTACAAACTGTTTGGAGCAACATCTCACTTGTTTTAAACTGGTTTGGGGAAATATTTGGGGACAGATTAATATCTTAAAGAAGGGAAAGAATATAGACTCGGTATTCTCCAGATCTAACTCTTTGGCCTTTTTCCTATGAAGGTTCTTTAAAGACAGGGTAAACAACTCTAATTCACAATCACTTGACGAACTCAAAAGGAATGATTAAACTTCACATGAGGAGTGTTTCACTGGAAATGTTTGACAATATATTGTTATAAATTTCAATAATCAACTTTTCTTTGATGTTTGAAGGGTCCTTTAAAACAATATATTTTAGATTGGAAGATGTGAAGTCTTGGGTGACAAAATAATGCATATTAAAATTTGATAAATATGGATTCGAACCAAGCTTTAAGAAAATTTTCGAGATAGTGGTTAGTAGAGGGGTTGGATGCAATTTTTGAAAACAAAAATCATATTCTTTTTTATTTTTCTTGTGCTCAGCTATGACGTGCATATTGGACATTCTTGAGATATCGTCAATCACTGCAGTGAAAGAAATTACAGCATCTGCGTCTATAAATCCTTTGGAGTCTGATTTGCAAAGGGTGTTAGGTATTTCAGAATCTCGAAGTGAAATATTCGTTCTGATCACTCAATTTGACCATCGATTTCTTAAACTAAATGTCGAAAAGACAATACATGCAATTAAAATGGTCGTCAGTATTCTAACACATTTCAGTAAGCATTTTGCAACTTCTCAGTGAAACTTCTTTGTGGAGATGAAAACGGGATTACAGCAGAGCAGTCCATAATGGATTTCTTTACAATGGATTTCTTTACACAAGGGACATTCAACTTCTATGTTTGGAGACATTCTTAGTGCAGGGAAAACCGTAGAATACTTATCTTGAGAATAATGTATGGTGTCCGCTTAAATTTTAAAATTAAACTATTGTGCATTCTTACATTTATTAATTGCACATTCAAAGCTTCTAGTTAAATCTTGATGCCTACCAGGCAAACTTGATAAACACAAAATAAAAATCTGAATATATCCAGTAGCTTTGCCAGATTCTAAAGTAAAATATGGAGATAACGAACAGTATTCAAGATCAAAGTCCATTTAAACAATATAAATTGGGAGCAGAGCAAACACGGACCTCGAAAAACATCAGAGGTGTGATCAGGTGCCATGGAGGAGTGAGCATCCCCTGCCAGCCGGTCACACCCGCCGTGAGCTCCTTGTCGTGGTCGAGAAAGAAAAACGACAGAATCCGTAGACAATTCAGTGTATAAAAAATGGCCAAACGATTCATATGGAAAACGTCCATCGGAATTTGACTAAATGATAAATTAAATTTGCTAACAAGGTTATTGTATCGACCATAGAACTTGCGAAAAGATGACTTTTAACGAGATTTTTGATATTCTTGTTTCATCAACTTGTTTGTCAGTAACTTCGTTTAAGAAATTGTTTGTACGAAAGGCATGCTCTTCCGTATTGAATCAACTGAGAGAATCAACTCCATATGCAGGTGATAATGGTATTTTGCTACATACGTAATGGAAGTTGACGATATAAAAGTTGAAGTCATTGCGTTTATCAAGCTTTGTTGTTAGCTTACCATTGACGTCTTTTTCTGGTAAAATATCCATATATGAAGGAAACATTTCAAACAAATTTTCTTACCCTCCATTTTCATGCAAAGAGGGTGTTGCAGAAACTCGTGATTATTCCCTAAATCGAGAAAGTCATTTAAATACCCACGACGCATGAAGAGTTATCTCTAAATATACATAATGCTACGTAGATGGCTTTATTTATACAGCGGGTATGCCCAGCTTGTTATAACGAAACATTTCACATTTTATGTTAATATCATGCATTATGATAGTTTTTCCTAAATAGACTCGCACATCATTTTGAAAGATGTACTGTAAAAAGCGTGCGTTAATATTTTTTCAATATATACAAATGTGTACAATAATTACATATTATTATTGAATTACGCTATTGATGGAAAATCCAAGAAATTCCATTGAGTCATTTCAATTTATTGTTTCAAGTCAAATCTGAGCCACTAATTAACAGAACAATAATAAAACGAAATGAATATGAATAAATTAAATTATTTTAAATGATAGTACTTGATTTTTTAAGACATTGCCACTAAATAATAACATTCAATCTTTGTTTTATTAGTTTTAGACAAAACATCAAAGAAAACATTTTAATTCTGCATTTATTTAAAATATTACCCATCAACT